CAAAAATGTTTTGCCCAAGCCTGTGTTGTGCAGAAGTGACCTATTTGAAACTCACTTTGTTTTGTCATTTAGGTCTATTGTTAATCATTGTTCAACTATTCTGTAAAAATACATTTACAGTTGCTTTTAAGAGTCCTGCTACTTTAATCACCCATTTCTTGCTCAACACTAGAGGTGGGTGATATGGCAGAAACGTAATATCATGAAACTTTTTAAAAAGTCCAAGAAGTTTTCAAAGATACACAATAAGGCATGAAATATTTTTCTGACATTTGAGAAGTTGGAAAGACAACATAAATGCCACAAAAACTATGAATACACTGATTTGTACTCAGCATTTCACATACTGCACTGCACTGCACTGCACTAAATCCAATTAAACAGCAAAAATGATGCTCTCTTTGTAGCCAAACATGCAGTTCGAAAGTGTTTTAGTATGGACTACATCCGCAATATGCTCAGAGAAATACACTGTGAAATACTGTCACATAATTTATCAAGATAATGATAAATATTGATATATTTTCAAGCTCTATTCAACACCTCTGACAATCTAATATCTAAACGCAGAAATTCACGAATTTGTAAAGCAATAGTTTAAATCTGTGGTAAAAACCAAATTATAGTTGATAATGACCCAAGATACTACAAGGTTTTAAAAAGTACAAGGTTTTAATAAGCAAATGTAATGCTTTGTACGAGGGCTGGGCAATATGACAATATTTGTGGCTATCGTGATAAATTACGTCACATTATGCTTTTCTAAACATATCGTTATGTTATGTACAAATCTTTATATTCATAGTTTTTGATAGTATTTTTTTTAAATGTTGCACTATTTTGTCTCTTATAACTTATCTGATAAAAAGAAAAAAAACAAATATTGTGACACATTGTGTATTGCGAAAACTTAAAGTATTGTGATATTACATTTTTGCCACCTCTATTTTGCACCCATATGTTTAGTGCTCTTAAACGTGGCATCCATGTCAGCTTTTTGCATGCAGAGATCTTGCTCTGCGTTTTAAAGAGTAGGTGTGATATAAGACATCTCCCTATTGTTGACTTTTTACATCTAGACTAAAGATCACACCCCTGTCATTCTATTCTGCATTTAGACTACAGCTTTCATTGGTCACCACTTGTCCCAAAAAAAGATGAAATGTACATGTATTCATGAAAAGCTATCAAAAGATACCAAAATACTACACTCTAAAAACAGATGTGTTAAAAAAACATTTTTCATCAGTGTGTTCAATTGAAGACAACAAATTGAGTTACTTCTAATTCAGAATGTGTTAAATCAGAAAACAATATGCCACAACACGTGTTAAATCGGGTAATACAAATAAGAGTGCTGTTATTTAACACATCACTTTTTAAGAGTGCATAAGTTTAAATCCCTCTTCACACAAATAATTTCATTTGTACTCACACATTTAGAGTTGGCTGTGAGGTTCAGAGGAATAAGTAACATAAACAAACCCCGTCTTTTCAGTGTAAATGTATATATTATTTCAGCATTATGTCAGGTGTTTTAAACAGTTACCTTTCCCTTTGAATGCAGGTTTCTTCCCATCTTTAACAGAGAATGATTTCTTTCTTGGCTTGGCCTCCATGGCGGACTGTGTACTGCACAGAAACAGCAAAGCAGGATAAACTTACTGAATTACTGAGGTTTTACAGCAGCGTTTAAAAGTCATTAAAGCTGCTGTTTCTCAGCGACACGTATCGCCGTCCCTGTACGTTTTTAACTGAGTAGTTTAGCTGATCTGTGTAAAATAAAGGCGCTGTATTAAGAGTCTGCACGTCTTCCAGAGGCTTTAACGCTTTAGCTCCGGAGCTAACCGCTCTATCTGCGGCACATTTACCAACTTTATTAACAAAATCGGCTGAATAAAAGCTCGAGATGTTTCTTTCAAGATGACACATACATGTACTGTGAAGTGCTGGTGAGAAACGAGGATTTAAACGCTGTTTTACGCAAAGTTTACTCACTATTTTGGTTACAGAACTGAGACACGTTTACTCACCCATGTGTGCAGGAAAACACTTTACGGCATCCACCGTTTCAGCTGTCGTAAAACAGATACGGCGCTGGTTTCGCGACACTGAGAGAATTTACGGCTTACATGTAGTTTTCGTTCTTTAGTCTTTCATTATGTTCTTTTATATGCATATATAACCTCGTATATTCAAAATAATAACATCTTTATATACATCTTAACACATCTTCATACATGCATCTATATTATAACGGACATTATAAAAGCAGTGAGACTAGATAGAAGGTAGATGCCCCTAATAAAGTGGCCAGTGAGTGTGTAAACATAGATACAGATTGTATTACTCATTTATTAGTCGAAACACATCATAATCTAATTTAATTTCACGAAATTTTACTTAATTTCCTTAAATTATTTATTTTTTAGCATCAGGAAAAAAGCAGAAAACATATATTTAACAGAAAATTACACAGAAGCTACACTGAAACTATAATAATATAATATCAACTTTTTCAGTTTTTAGTGTGTCCATTCTTTAACTTTATCACAGCTTCCATTCTTTTCAGGAAACTTGCATGGAAATCTGCATGGAGGTTTTCTCACACTTCCAAAGTTCAGTCTTCAAAGTTGGTTTAGCATTTTCTGCTTCTCACCATCCAAGTAATCCCAAACACATTCAGTGACGTTGAGGTCTGTACTCTGGGGTGGTCAGTCCAAAACACCAGCAGCTTCATTGTTGTTGTGTTTGTTTGTTTGTTTTTTCTGTTGGTTGGTTGGTTTTCTTTTGTTTTGTTTTTTTTTGTTTTTTTTTCTTTTCTTAGTGAGGGCTTATTGACAGCTTTTCAGATATGAAGCAAGAGTGGAGCTTGATTTATGGTTGATCATGTGTCTAATCTCCTCAAAAATACATCCTGAAAAATGAAAAACTTCTACTTAATACAAATTATAAAGTAATAACACAATGCCAGTAATCACGTTGATAATCAATATGCTTTATTTGCTTTTAATTTACATAAAGCAGTGCCTTTTGCAGTTTATAGACTGTAGAGCATCATTAGAGACAGACAAGCTAAGCAATAAAAAACACATTCTTTTAAAAAAAACTGTGCATTATTTCAGATTATTTGAGGCTGTTTTGAGCAGATTTCTTAGTGCTGGTCCCGGGGCTGAAAGGGAAGGCAGGCTCACTAACGTCTATTTGTCTGACGGACTGCAGTGACTCAGGCATACCTGAGAAAGAGATACAATACAAAATAGTTTTAATGTGATCAGAGTACACCAGCAAAGTGGCTGAAATAGCTCTAAACATGGACACTGCAAGTTCATACGACCACATATTTGGGACAAAATAATTCATACATTATATTATAAAACTAAAATATATAGGATCAGTTCTTAGTTTGGATTTGAATCAGATTATCTTAATTTGCACTTTTTATTTGACTATTTAAATTAGAGCCACAAATAAACAGCAGGAATGGAAGAAGAAAAAATAAACATCTGTTAAGAAGCCACAGCAGCTCATCTGAATGGTCAAGGTTTACATACTCTTCACTGTCTCTTCAAATTTTGTATCTGATCTTTCCTTTATATTATTTTTTTCTTCTGATAAATGCCTTTACATTGTGTCTTACTGCTTACCCAGCGTACCCTACCCAGCAGTTTTGGTCAGAGGTCATGGACAGGCTATCAGAGATTTTGGGCCTTGTCACCCCTTTATGTCCCATTGTAGTACTACTTAATGACATTTCTTCACCTTCAGCACCCAGTCACCTGAAATCCTTTATATTAATATTATTTACCATTGCTGAAGAAGTTACACTGCTGACCTGGAAGGACAGAACCAAAATCTCAATAAAACATTGGCTTAAACTTCTTTTGGATCACTGCAATTGGGAAACACTTACAGCAAATTTTAAAAATAATACAAAACCATTCAAGGAAATCTGGTCACAATTTTTACAATATATTGAGAGCTGAGATTTTGACATACTCTTTAAGAAAAAGGTTAAAACCCATATATAGAATTTGATAACTACCAACATCATAGTTATGGTATAAAAAATGGATGGGGGCATTATTACTTTGTTTATTGTTTTGTTAAATTATTCTTGTTTGTCTGTGCTGTCTTGTCCAGTTTGTCCACTGTCAAAATGTTTTTTTTTTCTCCTTCTTCTTCTGCCATGTCTCTCAGCTATTTCTGTCTTTTCTCTCACTTAAAGGGGTGAGACGGTGGACAGGGGGAGTGTGGGGGTGACTGGGGGTGGAGGGGGGGTGGTAGTTGTGGTACCACATCACTTTATATTTTTATGACTATTAATAAATGCTGAGTTGTGACATTAATTGTGAAACGAAAAGGAAAAAAATAATGTCTCCGTAAAAAAAGGAGGGGGGGGTGTAGCTAAGGAATACTGGCCTGGAATTAAAAAAAATATATATATAATAATAATAAGAAGAAGAAGAAGAAGAAGACGAAGAATTTTAAGCATATATTCAGTATCATACCTTAAAGGACCCATATTCTACAGTTTTCTTGCATTTTATTTTTCCTCTGAGGTCCACTTTAGGTACCTAAACTTCTAATTTTTATTCTCTTATTATTGTTACTATTATATATATATATATATATATATATATATATATATATATATATATATAATTCTTTTTTATGTGACCATTTTCCAATCTTTTATTAATGCTTAGAATTAAAGAAGGTGTTTTGTTTCTGTGCCTTTAAGACTAATATATCTAAATGAGCTCTGTTCTGGTTGGTTGCTGTGTAGACATAAAGCAGTCTGGGCTATAACACTCCTTATAATTCCAGTATGAGTGGGCATGAATAAAGTGCTGTCAGTTGAATAGACAGAATTATACAAATGTGTTGGTTTTTGTGTCATCGCAAAAACAATGAATTTTAAACAGGCTATTTTTGCAGCTTAGTTTCCAGATATAAAATATATGGACTGGGATGTGAAAGGTACATTTTGAAACGATAACAATGTTTACATACTGTTACTATAAATGCTTTAGCTTTAAAAAAAAGAAAATTCAAGTTTCTACAATAAGCCCCCTTTAAGAGTGATATAAAAAAGAGAAACTCATTTTTGCCTCTGGACATTAGGGACATGTCATTGTTTGTCTCTCTTAAAGATGAACCCTACATGTTATTTTTCATAAAAAACTCCTTGTTTTTAACTGCCACTGAAGCTTAATGTGGGTTTACTTTACCCAGCCTAGTCCAAGGATGTCACATTCCCAGCCACGGTGGCACTGACTACTCTGCCATGCCTCACTGTTGCTTCTTAGATCTGCAGCCACCCTGGCATCCTAAACAGGCAGACACACACACAGGTAAGACCAGAGAACGAGGGTCAGGCTGAGTCTGGCTACCAGTAATACTACGGTCTATCTCTTTTTATAATGATGTTAGCACTGAGCTGTTTTTTGGTCAGAACATTAGGCCAATTTACATTAGCTTATAATAATGAATGGCTGCATTTTATATTACTTGATGTTATGTGATACTAGGAAATAGATTTATTTCAGAGGCAAGTCTGTAAACACATATTCAGGCATGAAAGACAAGTAGAACAATTATGCTTCCTTCTCCATTGGCTTCCCCCAAGAGAGTATCTTAGAACAAATGAAAAATATGGAGTCATTCAAGAAGACTATAGGCCAGTTTTCCAGATTAGATTAGGCCTAAAGCTAAACTTAAAAGAATTTGTATTGACAAATAAATCAACAGCATTGCAGTTTAGCCCAAGTCTAGAATTAATCCATGTCCACAAAACCAACCCTAGACAACCAGAGTTGTTCATAAACTTTTATGACCACCAGATGGCAGAAAAACACCATCTGCTAAGAACAGTTCACCAAAAAATCTTCCTGACACTGCATGACATACTGTTGTCAATTTAAAAGTATTTGCACCTACTGTTCTTAGCTGTGCAACATGCTTTTGTCCATTTGATAGATCAGTCAGAGCACTTACTTAGCAAGTAAGTAAGCAATCTCTGGTTCCATAGCACATTTGAAAACATCAAAGTGCTTTACACGGGTGAAACCAAAAAAGATGAAGAGTAAGAAACGATAAAAACAACAGACAATGTTAAAACCAACAAGAATGTCAGATAAATAAACAGACAAAGAGGAAAGAGAAACACAAGACAATACAATACGTCCCACATCATCTAACATCAACTATTTTTGAACGCCAAAAATACAGCTATGTTTTGAGCTTTTCAAAGCTGAGCCGTCGCCATACTTCAGATACGGTTATGTACCATCAGTATAACAGTCAAACGAAATGTTATGTTTCTGATCAACATGGCCTAGAGGTATCATGTATATGTAATAAGACTGGGCCTAAAATGGCCCCCTGAGGGACCCCACAAGTGACTAGAGAGGTAGGAGAAGTGCTCAGTTGAAGGAACAGTGCGATGATTTAGGCATTCAGTTTGCACAATGCTAATCAATACGTATAGGCTTCCATTACTTGTTAGCTATTAGTCTCGTAGCTCCAGGGCACAACTATAGAAAACATGCAAACTTCAGACACCAAATATGATTTGGCCGATTGACTATTGGTGAAAAAGGATCAAAAAGTGTAAATCTGATTTCTAACTTTAAAGATGAATAATTTAGTGTTTGGTGCTAGCATACCTACCGAAAGAAAGGATTTTTGAGATCTAGTGTGTTGCCAGATTTAAAGCCAGACTCATCAACAACAGCTGTGATGTGGATGTCATAACTCTGCCTGTTGAATGAAAAAGACAACAGACAGAAATTTGTCAGAATGATTTGACACTGGAGCTGCTCTGTGGACCAGTGTGCTTTCTTTAATGGGTGCCATTATTTTATGTAGCATTATACCTCTTGTTGGCAATCAGTAGAACCTGTCCTGACAGCGTCTGCCCCATTTTGGCAAACAGTGGAGTCTGGAGGAGACAGCGGACCTGGTACCAGTGAGACAGGGGCTCATGGGGCGCAGTGGACAGCCATACAGTCATCCTTTAGAAGACAGTTTAATGTTTAGGATATAAAGTTATATGCTGTTCAAGTTAGATGGACCGTAGTTGATAAATAAAAGGTTTTGTCTGCTTAGACAATTTCTGGTAAAAGGTGGCATTAATAAAGTTACACAATACAGTGGAATGCAAAGGTTTGGGTGGTCTTTTTCTGTTTTAATAAGTGAAAGTAAGTTAACACATTCTGTACCGAGAACATACTTCAGCATAATTTAATGCACAATTATTGTTTATTTGCTGAATTTAAAATATTGGAAAAAAATAAAATATAAAATGTGGCCAAAGGCATAGGTTATGGCATATTTATTGTACGTAGATAAATAATAAATAGATATTAAAACAACACATCAAGCTTCATATTATATTTATTTATAAGAAGAGACACATTTCAGGCTTTTTTAAATTTTGGTTAAAAAAAATATTGCATATATTATTGAATATTATTGTAAGCCATTTTAATTAATTCTAGCAGTTCAAAATTAATGCAGTTGAAATGATATCATGATGCATTTTTACACCCTTGGTATGGAAATGTATAATTACACTTCAGTTTAGAGCCAAGAGGGGAGCAGAATACTTAGTAGTAGTAGTAGTGGCTGAATACTGAAAACACACACATTCTTTAAGCCGCTTATCCTTCTGAGACACGGGGGTGCTGGAGCCTATCCCAGCAGTCATCAGACAGAAGGCAGGAAACACCCTGGACAGGTCACCAGTCCATCACAGACATGTACACTCACACCAAAGGGCAGTCTACCATGTCCAATTGGCCTGACTGCATGTCTCTGGACTGTGGGAGGAAACCCACACAGGCTCAGGGAGAACACAAACTCCACACAGAAAGGACCCTGGTCGCCTAGCCAGGGAATCAAACCCTGGCCCCTCTGTGCCACCGTGTTATGTGAATACTGAATTGCCCTGAATGAATTCAGTAATGTAGTACATTACAATGCAAAACATTTTATCACTTCTTTTTTATTACTTTTTGTTCCTCACTGTTACTGGTTGGTAGTTTTCTTCATGTGATTTTTCTGCTAATGTTTCATGAATGTAGTTACAAAAGTGTCAACATTATTTTGACTCTAATTACCTGCTTTAGTTACTGTTGCTCCCATAATCCCATTGCTTTTTCATAAACTAAGCAAATAATTTGTCATATCCCAACGACAAAATTTTGCAAATGTGACTATGACGTGGCCACCTATGTGATTTTCAGTTGATAGCATGTATCTAACTTAGCACAAAATGCCTCCATGAATCCAGTACAACAGCGATGGGTGATGACCTACAAATACTTAAATTATTAACAAATTTTCTGGTCATACTCAGTTGAGAAGTTGGTTTAGGTTTAGGGTTGATGATAAAGTTAGGGTATTTATTATATATTATATATAATATATAGATATTTTGTTGAATGTTAGTTAAAGACAGACTGAGGAACTACAAAGCGTCTACAGTGGGCCATCCAAATAAAGTGTTACCCAGCAATGCTGTCACTTCAGTGTTTGTAAAGAAGCTGTTTTCTGAGTTCTTCTTTGAGCAAGTCTTTACAGCCATGCACCAATTTTAAAACACTTAATAAACAAGAATTGATTTTATTTCTCCAAAAGATGGTGTACATTTTTTTCATTTTAGTGAGTAAATATTGATAAACTGTACACTGCCTTTACAAACCGTAACTTGGACTGAATACACTTAATTTCTGTTTTCTCAGTAATTTTTCGACTGTAAGCACTGACACTTACCTTGATCCTACAAACGCCACATCAAACCAGAACGCCAGACCATGAATCAGTCCCGACTGCAGCAGTTTGAAGACAAAGGGAATTTCCATCCTGCAGATCCAAACAGCCACATGTTGATATTTTAAACTGTGATGACTTTGCTCTTATACACATACATGAAATATTATCAACTCAGTAAATCTATGTCAACCTGTGCAAGTCCTCTTCTTTAGCTTCAAGGAAGTTAATGCTGTATTTCACAGATCTTGCCATCAGAATCTGCATATCAAAAGTGTCCTGGAAAACACTGCATGTAAGAACATGTGTTCACTGATAACATGATAAAAACTGTTACTGAAACGTGGAATAAAGCATGCGAGACACACCACTATTGGCTGTCTGAAGAACTCATCCATAGCTGCAGGATGAAGTCCACTCAGGTTTACACCATAGAAACTCGTCTGGAGCCTGTAGAAGCACATATGCATTTTCATTGATAGTCTAATTGTAGCAACATACAGCACCGTGCCAAAGTGAGAGGCCTCTCTTTCGTTTATCCAGTGTCCAGTCATAATAGAACAGAACGTTCATTTTAATCATTTATGAGATAGAAGATCCACTTGCATCAGAAATGGGGAAAGATAAAGGTAAAAAAAACAAGAGTTTCCAAAACTGGAGCTCAAAAACTTATTAAAAGATATAGAGAAAATGAGACCCCTAACAACCACCTGCAAGACCTGATAGACCACCAAAACTGTCCCCATCAGATGGACAGCACATAAAGCTTTTATTTTTGAGAGAGAAGAGAAAATCAAGCTCCACTCTTACTTCAGATCTGAAAAAATCCACAAGAGTTTCTGTCCATCCTTCCACTGTGAGAAGACAACTCAACACTATGAGTCTGAAACGACGTTTAGCTATTAAGAAGCTGCCATTCTCAGAACAATAGACTGTCCATCCCAGAGTCCAGACCTCAACATCACTGAATGTGTTTGGGATTACTTGGATCGTGAGAAGCAGAAAATGCAACCAACTTCTAAGACTGAACTTTTGAGGTGTGAAAAAATATCCCTGCAGACTTCTTTAAAAAACTAAAAGAAAGTCTCCTGAAAAGAATGGAAGTTAAAATAAAGGCAAGGAGTGAACACACTAAGTACTGAAAAATCTCATATTATATTTAGTCACACAGCAGCCAAAAAGCCAATATCTGACTTTCTAAGTGTATCAGTCAAATACACACACACACACACTTTCTAAGCCACTTTTCCTTCTGGTTTGCAGCGGTCATTGGGAAGAAGGCAGGAAACACCCTCACACAACATTCATCACAGGGCAGACACACAGACATATACATTCACTCACACACACCAAGGGGCATGTCCAGTTGGCCTGACTGCATGTCTTTAGACTGTGAAACCCACACAGATATGGGGAGAACAAGCAAACATGAAGGGACCCTGGTCGGCCAGCTAGGAATCGAACCTAGGCCCTTCTTGGTGTGAGGTGACAGCGCTTCCCACTGCACCACCATGAGTAAGTAAAACATGTGAATCTATGGCTGTTTAGAGCGATTTAGAGAGTTGCTATATATTCATTGCTATATATTCAAAATACACTGTTGAACCTCTCCTGTGATGTGTTTACACATTAGCCTTTATTTTGATCACTTTTCTTTATGTTTGTTGGATCATATGAATGTCATGATTCATCAAAACACCCGAAGAACATCTGTGAGTGGTCAGGATAAAACATTCAGTGACTGATTAGAGACCAATTTGCATATTGCAGCCTTCTGTGATATAACAATAACAATTAATTAACAATACAATGGGGACAAGAAGTCTGAGACCACATTGAAAATTTGGGATTTTCTTCATTTAAATGTGTAAATAAACAACAGAAATTTAAATAGAAAGTAAAATAAAGAAGAAACAGTCCAGATTCTGCCCTGTTTGTAGGTCACTCTCCAAAATGAAGAAAATGTGTGACACTGACCACATTAAAGCCTTTATACAAAAAGGCCAGTTTTTTTCAGTCAAATCCTTCCATTGAAGCTCGTGATCAGACAACTCTCAGTTGGATTTAATCTACTCATCAGAGGCTGTGTAGTCCATGCCAGCTCGAGTGCAGGCTCTCAGTAAAGCAAGAGGACATACAGTACTAAATACTAAAAAATATAAAATACTGCTTCACTGGGGGCCTCAGACTTTTGGATCCCACTATGTACTATGCAGCTCTTCTGACGGCTTATGCCAAATATGTACAAACTGCATCAGCAAAGAGGATCAGGGGTCCCACGGTGATGCTCAGCGACAGTTGCTAAACGCCACAGAACTACGAACTCAAAAAAAGACAACAGAATCAGAAAGAAGCAGTATCTCTGCAGCCCGTTCTCTACACACCCTGTAAACAGTGAGCTTCATAAAGCTGAATTTGGCAGAGATGGCAAAACTGCCACTGGAAACCATTTATGTCCAAGGCCAACACACAAAGACACATACTATGGTGTAAACAGCACAAAACCTGAACCCTGAGCAAAGGGGGAAAAAAGATCTAATGAGACGTTTTACGGCCTTCTTCGTACATCTGCTCATGGTTATAATCAGAGAAAGCCAAAGAATCAACGGGAGATCAAATATGAACCGGCTGAAGCTACTGATGACAAACAGACTCAGTTATCTCTATTAAACTTGTCAGATATAAGACATGTTTTTTCATTTACACTATCGTTAGCTTTTTGGAATCATTTGTAATGATATTAAACATTTTGTTATTTCATGCAAGAATAGCTGACATGATGTAGATTAAATTATTGTAAATTAGACACTTATCAGTAGTTTTAGATGGTTTATTCAATATTTCAAGCTTTTTGAGACCAAATAACATGTAAAAGTTTGGACTTCTTTGGTCTAATGTGAAAAATAACACTCAGTCACTGAGCTTATGAGAAAGAGAACATGAATGAAACAGCTTTGCTTCTGATCACATGCTTGACCACATGCCCGGTCATGACAATGATACAGGATGCAGCATGCATGCTGGTGGGAAAGAAGATATTTCCCCAGTTTGGACCACTGTGAGCCTTTGCTTTACAGTACATCACCCTGTAAAAATCCATAATAAACCATAAAAAGAACAGTGTGAAATATCAGACATACACAGTCAATCTAGCATGTTTGATGGCTGAACTTTGCTTTTTTGCACCAGAGCCATGAGGTTAATGTAGCGAACAGGTAATGGAAGCTTGTACCCCTCTGCGTGACTAAATCATCATCATCATAATCTCTAACAGACTTGCTTATGAAGTTTCGGACACTGTATGACAAAGTTTTATCTATGAAAATGGGATAATATATGAACAACATTCAGGCTTCAGGATTGCTGCTGCCATTGTGTTAGCTAAGTGGCACACTTTTGTCAATTTTCTTGGATTTAGGAAGGGCAGAGAGACAGAAGCTTTCATTGCTGATGTACTAATTCTGTGAAAAAGTCAAGAAATTCAATAAGGAAGCCAACATCAGCGACGCCATCACTATAGCTCCACAGCTATTTCACAACCAGAGCATCTCGTTGTTCTGAAGAGAAACCTCTACACTTATCTGCAAACCACAGTCATAACAGAAAATGGACAAATAGACTGGTTTTACACCAGTAGAAGACAAGGCTGCCAACTAACACCATGCTTGTTTGACCTGTTTGAAGAGAAGGAGGACTGTAGGAAGATGATCAAAGATTTAACCCAGCAAAACCAGCATTTATTGTGTATTAGATGCTTTTGTGGGTGACCAGCTAAGCCAGCACTAGACCAGCATAAACCAGCATAAACCAGCTTAGACTATCATGGAATTCATGCTGTTCCATTCAGCATCTTCTATCCATATCTTGTGTAATCTGGATCTATATCAATATTCTAGTCCCTGTGTACCCTGCATCTCATTTATTTACTCACTAACTGCACATATGGAGATGTGTACAACAGTACATATCATAGTTTTATCTCATTCAGTAAGTTTTATTTCATAACTTATTACTGTACAATTGTACATTGGAAATAGTGCAATACCATTATTTAATAATTAATAATATAATACTACTATATTATATTGTGTATATGTGTATATATTTAGAGTCGGTGTATATATATTTATTTTTTCTTTATATATTTATATTTAAATTCTACAAGGGGGCTACACACCTAAGATTTTCACTCACCTTGCACCTGTGTAAATGTGATGTGACAATAAACATGATTTGATTTGATTTCATTTCATTTCTTTTCATTTCATTTAAAGGAGAGAATGTGGAAGAAACGTCAGTAATTTTGTAAGTGCAGATGACGCAAATGGCTTTAACAATGGAAAGGAAAGACCACTAACTTTGCCACTGAAGACGTGGAAATGGTGGACAACATACCATCCAGCAGTCAAGAATCAGACACAGACTGGCACTCAGTACAACAAGGATGAAGAAAAGATCTTCACAGTGTAATGATTTGTCTCTACAAACAAAGATCAGAATTGTCTGGACTGTGCTCTTTTCTGTGCTAATTTATCGGTGTGAAAGCTGGACAATAAAAAAGCCTGGACAGAAAAAATACTGATGCTTAAAACCTATAACTGCTGCTGATGAAGACATTTGAGAGCACTTTGGAAGACAAAAAACAGACAAAAAGATCCTTGACCAAATCAAGACCGCGACCTCAGCTCTCACTCGAAGCTCAGATAACCGAACTGAAGCTCTTATTTAGGATACATTATGAGAAAAAACAATTCATTGGAAAAGACAATTGCTTGGAAAGACTGAAAGCAAAAAAGGAAGAGGATGGCCAGCAACAAGATGGATGGATACAATCAGAGGAGTCATGAAGAAGCCATTAAGAAGCACAAAGTCCCAAACAGGTACTACAGTGACAGAAGCCACATAAGGAAGTCTATAGTGCAAAGCTAAGCAGGCAGACTTCAGACACCAAACATGCCTTTGCTGGTCAACAAGATATGTAAACAAAATAATTCAGAGTGGTTTAAAGTGAAATGGTAAATTTTTAGAGAAACTTACTGACTCAGATTTCTTTACAGTGGTGGTGATAGGAACCAGGGGTTGCAATGTTTACAACACAAATACAGCCATTTTATTTAATAACCCAGATAACCTATATGTGAGTTTTACATGTAATGTTGTTAATGCTAAAATAGTGGTAAATCCTAAAAAACAGGTTTCAGGAACTATTTTCTGGACTATTTTGCCCCCTCTCAGCAATTAATATATGCAAAAAAATATTTGTGGCCCAAAGACTTGGTATAGCAATGTCTCAGACTTTAGGCTACATATCCATGATTATTTCATGTAATAAATTTTGGTGAGGTGGCTTTTAGAAGACTGATATGACTTAGAAGACTGATGATGATTTGATACACTGTGATATAATTAGATGCAAGACGATCTATTGAATGTTGTATTGTTATATCCCTACCTAATAGTCCACTGATTTTCACAATATTACTAAAATATTAAAATATTTTTAAGGCTTTAAAAGGTCATTAAGTTGAACCCATTCCCTTTTAAAATACAGTATTTTGCTTGCTTTGATGTGAATGGAGGTGTTGGAGAAAGTGAGTCAATGGTTTGCTTGGGCAGATAAATTGCCCTGAGCGGGTCTCTGGCTACAGCCCAAGAGCAGCTGTCATCGCATAGTGGAGATGTAGGAAGATATTGGCTAACAGGTTCCTCAGAGGAGCTTTCACTGCATCTGCACGCCAGCATTCCAAGGGGATTTACTAACATAATATCATATATCATCCATTAAACATGATAAAACAGCTGGTGTTGTAGATATGAGCAGATAAAAATTTACAAAGTGATGGTGAGAGATGTTTATGGCTGCGTTTGAAGCAGGGTTGCTAAAACAAGGTGGTTTAGTAGAGTGTAAAACAGCTTCTGATTGGAGGAGGTGGTGATCCAGATGACTGGCACCACCTTCCCGGCACTCTGCTTGGTTAACTACACCAGTGGAGCAGAGAAGGGAGAGATAGAGACGATGTGAGCAGCCTGTGTATCTGCTATGAGTCAGGTTTGGACTGCAGTGGAGCGTTTTACAGCTCTGGAAGCTCTGCTCGGGTCACAGCACCATCCTGGCAGGCCGCTAGCTGTGGGTGGTGGGCCGACTGCCCTCGCTCTGTGACGGCCAACCACAGGTCCCTGCAGGAGACGTCAAATAAACCCTCATGGATAAGACTGTAAACATTCAGAGGGAAGCACGAAGCATCACTGAAGCTTCAGTGAGGGGGACTACGGAGGTGAGGCCGGAGACACATATTTAAAGACACTATATTTAAAGACACTATATTTCTCTTAAAGTGGTAATTTGACAAAAAATCTAATTTGCATTTTTTTTTCCCTTAACCATAATATATATATATATTCTGATAGACATATTTGGTGTCTGAAGTTTGCTTGTTTAGTTTTGCACTGGCGCTATGACACTAATGTTGCTAACAAGTAATGGAAACGTACAATTAGCATTATGCAAACTGTTTAAATCTTCACATGCTTGCATCAGACCTTGTTGAGTTGGTAAAAAATGTGTTCAGTGAAAAAATTCATTTACAAAATTACAAAAAACAAGTTTAAAGCCAAATCCTTATCTCAAAACCATCATATGGCATCAGGAAATGTACACAGAATCATTTCATGTTCTATCGTTCTGTAAGGGAGCTTTTAGAGACATTGTACCCTTCAGATATCTGGTTCCTATCACCACCACTGTGAACAAGTTTCTCTACAATAGAGCAAATAAAACCATTCTGAATGACATTGTTTGGTAAAAACATTTCACTTACCTCAGAGGTTGGCAATCAGCCAAGGCATACTTTGTGTAGAGTTAATGCTAAATGCTGCTATAAAAGTCTTTCATGTAGATACATGCCAACATTTTTTTCAACCCACTTGAGCCACTTTCAGGTCTTCAGTAAGGTCACACAGACTTATCAATGTGGTTTAGGGTGTGTTATGTTACGTTAGCATTGTTGCTCCAGCGTTAAACTAAAGAAGCATAAACCATGTCTTTGCTGATCATCAATAATTCCAAAAATGTGTACATTTGATTTTTTGCCTAAATAATTTTAAATAGACGTATGTGTTTTTTTTTATACTGTCACTGTTCTTTATAAAAATGGACAAAGATATGGACAAAATTCAGGCTTCAAATGGCTGCTACTACTGCTTTTATCTGTGCAATGTACTTTTCTATTTTTGTATATGTCAGTGTGTCAGAAACCACATAAGCAAACCTATTAGATATCACTTAACAGCTCAATGACGTTTAAGGGAACCGTGTGATAATTTAGGCACGCAGTTTGCACAATGTTAACTAGTTGCTAAAGCTCCCATTACTTGTTAGTTACATTAGCCTTGTAGCTGCAGTTTAAAACTAAAAAAGCTAACTTTGGACACCAAACATGTCCTGGCTGATCTGTAATATTTGTAGCAAGTTCTATGCAAAACTTAAGCTGATTTATGCTGGTCTTGTGCTGATTGGTGCTGGCTTGGCTGGTCACCCAAGCATGGCCTACTTTATTTTTAATGTAAGTCAATGGAATCAGATATTTTCAAGTAATTTTATGCCATTTCTTCTGGCCTGTTCATCGTAAAACTTACACACAATGTAAACTAATTAAACTAATAGCATTTTCAAATTACATCAAAAACTGAAAAACAAGGTTTTGTTCTGACAGTAGTGATAAGCTGGTTCTGCTGGTCGCCAGGCATGCAGGTTTATGCCATTTATTTCTTGTAGGTTGGGAAGTTGTGCAATTTTGATTTACAATTTAATATTTTCCCTGCTCACCTGATTAAACTGACTAATTATCGAGTCTGTTATGAACTTAATGAGTGAAAACACTTCAGCACAGGCAGGTCTACGATGAAATACTTTTGCCAACTGCTAAAAATTAAAAAGAACTTCATAGTTTTACCAGAAGCTGGAACGTGCATGGTGCTCTAAGTAAAGCTGCTCATCAGTAAAGGGAGCCAGGTGGATGTCACTGAAGGTGGGGAACATCATACCTGACCAAGACAAGAAAGACAGTCCTTAGTTCAACTAGTAAAAGACGACCCAGTCAGTGTAATAGTAAAGAGTACTGTGCTAGGAAAATGAATGAAAGCTCATCGGTGAAGTCTAATGAAACACATTTGGTCAGTGTTTTTTTAAAGACCGGTCACTTTCTCCAACCTTCGGGCTTCAGCCAGTTTTTGGAGTGCAAGTAGCTCTCCAGCATCCGTTCATTGAGGAGCATGTAGCCGATTGGTTCAGAGATGATGACATCCACTTTCTCTGGGCAGGACACCTCCTCAATCTTCCCAGCAAGCACGACAATTCTGTCAGACATGCCATTACTCCTCACTAGTACCTGAACACATAAAATACACTGTCATCAATCAAATCACATGTATACTGCCCGTCAAAGGTTTGGGGACACCAAGCTTTTCAAAATGGATTATACAAATAAGCATGTTTTCTGTGTCTACTTGCAATAACGTAACATTTTAAAGCAGGGGTGCACAACTCCGGTTCTGGAGGGCCCAGTGTCCAGCACAGTTTGGTGATTTACCTGCTCTAACACACCTTATTACACTTATCTGTTAATTGCCAGGTTAAGTATGTGTGTCTGAGCAGGGAAACTTCCAAACTGTGCTGGACACTGGCCCTCCAGGACCGGAGTTGTACCCCGAGTTGTTTTGAAGACTAACTAGGTTTATTTTGATAAAAGCAATGTCACAAGTGAAAACACTAACTATAGGAGAAAAAAATAATTATTTCAGTGCAAATTGATGTAACAAGATTTTATTGCAAGTATTTTGGAGCAGTTATATTGGCCTATTTGTCATTGAACGTCACACAATGTTGTGATGTCAGCACTCAAATTTTCAGATGTATGGGCTAAATTTAGCATTTAATGTTATTGTTATGTTATTTCTAATCTGTAGCGCAGCATTGCATCCTTCAGCACTGTTAGACCTCTTGCATCATTTTTGTGTTTTCATTCATCAGTGTTCTCTTACTACAATACCCAGCATGCACTGCACAGACACAACGATTGAGAGTGTCCGTAAAGGCAATAAAGGAATTCTGCTAGCATTGCGTAGAGGCTAATACATACAGATGTGATATTCAGCTTGCTAGCTGTAACATTAGCAGCCTGGCTGTTTTCTGCGTTAGTGGAAATGAATAGCTTAACATACCCCAAAGCATCCGCCCCAAAGCCCTTGTAGTTTTTCCCAAAGTTCCTCCCACCTTCAGAATTACAAAGATCATCATCAGAAGGGGTTTTTCATTTTTAATTTTTGACCAGAGTGACTATTTTACCCACCATTTGGACCAAAAGAGTTTCGATAGTTTGGAAACTAACTACCAAGGAAAACATGAAGAGTGTTAAATCTAAATGTACCATTTTGATGATCGTAAAGCTGAGTGCTGAAGCTAAATGTACCACAGGATTTAGCAAACAGCTGTTCTGACACTTTGATGAGCATGAAGCTGAGAGGTGAAGCAAAATATACCTCTTTTAGTATTGAAGCAGACAGCAAATAGCTCTTTTATGTTAACAAAACATTTGCAGGGATGTTTTCCTCACTTAATTTAAAAGGAAGACAAAAATCTAACATTACTCAGAACATATCAAAAGAAGGCAAAGTGTCCCCAAAGCTTTAGTGGACAGTGTAAACCTGTAGAAAAAAAATCTGTAGAAAAAATGGCTATTTAGGAGGTTCTCTCCACCATCACTGCTGTACCATTTTTAGGGTGCATGCAGCGACACGGGCAAAAATGTGGGCCCTGCGGATCAGAATCATTCAGAAAGAACAACAACAACGCTATGTGGGCCTAAACTGCAATTTCCAAATAAAGAGAGAAACTAAGGTTAAGGTCAGAAGCTGTATTTGGCAGATCTGTTGCGACGTGCTGGAAACAAGAAGAAACACATCTGGTAGTAGTCTAAAAACGAACAAATGAGTGAAAATCGAGCAGTTTAAACCATGCTTGACTGTAGAGCAAGCATCCATCCAGCCATGAAAATATGCTTCCTTTACTCCCCCCTGCCCCCTCAACATGCACACTCAAGCACACAGAGGTTCCACAGCCAAATGCCAAATCTGTCCATAAGCCATTAAGCAGCCAGAATGTCATGCATTCAAGACATGTGCAGAACAACCTTCAGCGCTCTATAGGTGCAGAACTGTTAGACCTCTTGCACAAAACCCATCAGCCTGAACTTAACAAAACAGCGGTCAACCTTCTGCTTAGCTTTTTTTATTTTCTCAACTTAGTTTAGATAAAAGTTCTCCTAATTTACATTTTCAGTAATGCATCTACGTTGAGTCTAATACAATTTAAAGGGAAATTCCACCTATTTTTCCAGATTTCTACATGATTAAATGGATAAAATGGTTTAATATTAAATTTGCTGTAGACAAATGTCCAGTCAGAATTGTTCAGAGTGGTGGTGATAGGAACCAGACATTTGAAGCATTTAATGCCTCTAGAAGTTCTCTCCCAGGAAGCTATTACAGGAAATGGTTACAATTACGCAGGGTGAAGGCTGAATAATGGTTTTACAATGTTTTTGGCTTTAAACATATTTTTAAAATCCATTCATAGCAGAGAGGCATATGCAGACATAAAATGGTTTTTTTTTAAGTTTACCACTATTGAAGAAGGCATGATTTTGTTTACTGGCCATTATGGACCATATAAATAATATAATAAATAAATACCTATATTTGTTATTGTAAACATACTGTAAACATTATGTCCCCTGGTACCTATCAGCGCCACTACAAAGAAATCTGAGTTGGTAAGTTTCTCTACAATAGAGCATTTCACATTAAAACACTCCGAATGACTTTGTTTACAATGACTTTGTTTTTTTTTCAAAATCTCTGAATAATTCAGTCCTTGATGTAAACAGTCATTCAGAGTGGTTTGATGTGAAGTTGATTATGTGTAGAGAAACTTACAGATTTCTTTAGAGACTTACAGATTTCTTTACAGTGGTGGTGATGGGAACCAGGGGTCACCATGTCTACAACACAAATGCAGCTATTTTATTAACAACCACCAGTGAACCTCCACATGCCCTCGGAGCTTTTATATGTAATGATGCTAAAATAGTCATAAATATGGAAAAATAAGTTTTCTTTGGGTGTTGCCTTACAACGCCCTCAATTTGTTCAAAAGAACAAGGTATTTAGTGTATTTATTACCATTTCATGTAATAACTTTCTGTGAGGGAGCTTTTAGAGGTGGGCGTCTGGTTCCTATCACCTATATTTCAGCTTTAAGGGGGCAATCACAATTTTTATAATGACTGTTTTGTTGATCTAACCTACACTGAAAAAAAGAATGCTGACTTCACTTGATTCAAATGTGTACATCAGTTCCTTATGAATAAAATGACTTACATTAACTTCATTCTTGCCAAAAATGAGTGAATTAAAACAAAAAAAATGGGTAGATGTATTTATGCAGAACTAATGTACACATTTTGAAATGAGAAAAGTCAGCATTCTTCTGTTCAGCATAACACACAGTACTAAAAATTGTGAGCTTTTTTTTTTGATTAACTTTTGACTAAAACTGACTAAACACATGCAAAAAAATTCAAGTTTTCCAGACTTAATATTTTACAGTGAACCTGTTGTGTTCACAGAGAGTCATTTACTGTATGAGAACATGACTCAGTTTGTCAGGGAATACTTATGACTTTACTACATGCTGAAAGATTTTGGCAGGATGTTTAAGCTGACGAACAATGCATCACTTCTAAAGCACATACTTAGTTGTCAAGATTTCTGAGGGAAACAACAGCAAAAGAATAGAGTGACATAATAAGAAATAATAAGGGTTATGTAGTGTAAGTACTTCTGCGTATTTGGCCACTGAACTGGCCTCCACTGCATACACTTTCTTCGCCCCAGCCTGGATGGCAAAAAAGGAGAGTATTCCAGTCCCACAGCCTACATCAAGCACTACCTGCAGGTGGAGGAAAGATGAACAAGATACATAGCATAAGAAGAGACTGTATTCTTGATAGAGGGGAGAGAACTCCCTTAACAGCTCAACGACAGATGGACACTCTCTCCCTGATGATGTAATCATGGCTTCACCTACCGCTGCTATGCTAATGGCAATCAACTAATCCTTTCCTTCTCACTTTCTAACATTCAGGTTGTCATCTCAGCATGTCTGGCTAACATCTCTTCATGAATGGCAACCCACCACCTGAAGCAGGCATGTGCAGACATAGACCCAAGGGGTGATGTCTGCACAGATGATAAAAGTGTCCTGTTGGTTGGTGTGAATAAAAGTTGTATAATAACTATAGTGTCTTCGTCATTCTTCAAGATCCTTTTCATCAAGATGAGGCTCAGCTTCAGAGCCTCAGCAGAGGTTTTGGGTGGGCTTAAGTTCAACTAGATTCATTGCTCTTGGGCGTCCCCTCTGATGCGGTAGTGACCGTATTCTGTCCTGTCATAAATCACCAGAGTGCTGGGAATGCCATCAATAAAACGCTGACCATCTCTTTGACAAAGCGTAACAGTCCATTACGCAGTCATTTTGAACAACAACTAAGCACAATATCAGTAGTAAGCAGTGCTAATAAAAACAAGTGGTCATTGTTGTAAAAAAAAACAGTGGTTTGTACAAGACTCTGTGGAGTTCTTAAATTGAGTTATAACTGACTCTTTAATAGTGCAGTGAGTAATGCCATGCCTTTGCATGCTTGTAAATGGGGTTCAAAATCCCTGCAGTGGTACATATGTTGTTTTTTTTTTTTTAGTTTAATTGATGTTCATGTTTTTTCCTCATGTTGAGGATTTGACCCTTTCTCTGTAGAGAGGCCACCCAGAAGCTTCTTCTGTCTTTTGTCATCTCAAGGCTTGACAACAGCAACTTGCTCCTGGCTGATCTTCCAATGCGTTCCTTGCAACTGATCAAGGATGCAGCATTACAGCTTGTCTTCAGTCTTTCTCAGTTCACTCATGTCATTCCACTGCTGCATTCTCTTTTTTGGCTTCCTTTAGCTGCCTGCATTCTCACCTACAAAGCCAAAAAAGGACCTGCTCCTCCCCACTGCATATAAAAATGTCTGGGTAAAAAATGGGTGTTATTCACCAACCATTCTCAAGAAGAAATATTTTCTTAAAACCCACTCACACAGTTTTTGGAACATTTACCAATTTATTTGGTGAATGTATATCTCTTATTTGGGATTTGTTCTTAGGTGAGAACAGAATCTACACACACTCAAGAGCACAAAGGTGCAAACAGTTCTGCAGATTAATAACACGTCATGAATCTGACATAGACTTTTTCTTAGGACCTTTCTCAAGAACAAATTTAAGAAAGATGACATTCTTTCTTAAGAAGGTATTGGTGAATGAGGCCCATTGTCTGCTAAATGCTGTAAATGTAAATGCAAATGAATTATAGTGGTTTAGCATTTTTCAATAACCCAGCGACGCTTGGTATGACAAAGTGTTTGCTGACTGACTGACCTTATCTCTGAAGTCAACATCATTCAGTAAAATGGCTTTTTGGTACGTCGCTGTCCTCAGGTAATCCTGAAGCATGTTCTGCTGCTGAGAAAGACAGCCGTAAAACTGCAGGAAAACATACGAAATGTGTCATTATATGATGTCTTCATTTCCTGCTGACATATTTACTTCATTATGAGTTCCAGAGACAGAAATCTGTGTGATTACCTGAATGCAGAATTATTAAAGAAATGCATTGCATTCAGAAAGTTGTCTGTACCTGAAAGTATTGCAGGGCAGATGAGTTGTCTGTTCTCTGATCGAATGCTGACATCCCTCTGCTGGAGTCCAAATGTGACTTTAGCAAACTGTGGAAAGTCTGGAACTCTGGGTTTAAGGGAATAAAACAAAGACCATACACTCCTATAGCATCTTGAGGCATAATGCGTGGCTACTGAGAATGAAGCATGACATCTCAACCCTTTATAACAGAGACACAAGACAGACATTAGTTTGCTGACTCGGCTGAACTCTGTGTGGTCTTTGGTCGGGTGACTACTGCCTGGGATTCTGTACTGATTTCTCCAGTTTATCTGGCCCAACCAGAGTCAGGTCAAACACAGATGCCCAGCACATGGGCTGCAATGACGTCACTTACACTAGCTCAACGGAAAGAGGCGGATATTGTATTCCGTTTGATCCTGCACTCTAAATAAAGCTTGTGCAAAATACAAGAGGGAAATTCAGATGTATTAAAGAGCGCATATTCCATACTTTTCTTGCATTTTGTTTTTCCCCAAAGTCCATTTATAACATGTGGTTTTATGACCCAAAAACAGGTAATTGATTTTTACATTGCCTGTTCCACCCTCTCATATGCCTTTTTTAAATTAAAGGAGCTGCTGTTACCATTTTGTTACTGTCCTTTTAGGACTGATGTATGTACATGTATTGTGCCTCATTCAAAAAACAGTCCTGACTAAAATGTACAGTTAAGTTCAGAGTGAAATCCTCAGGGACGTTGGAAAAAAATAAACCCCAGCTGCACCTTTCAGATGCGTAAAGGCTGTAATGATCTACTTGCTTCCTGACAGCCAGGAACAGAACAACGTTTAATCTTTTTCCCCTCATCTTTCACTCTAATAACTCTAATAATGTCTTCCAGACTACTGCAGGAACAACATTCCTTATCACTTCAGCGGTAATGAGCTAAACTGCTGTAGGCAGAATGGGTGGTCATATGTAAATGTGTTCATGGCTGTGACTTCCCAACCATGATGAATTAAAAACAGGCAGTTTTGGCAGCTTAGTGTCCATATATGGACTGCAGACTAATCTGTATGTTTTGGACGTTTACAGAGTTTATGTCAAACCATTTTATTTTGAAAAATAATAGTAAGGGAAATTAAGGTTTCCATGATATTGGCCCTTTTAAGAACTGCAGGTTGTAACATTTATTGGGAATAGATTTCATTGCAAAATATTTTTCCTCCACTTATCATGAAATCATCACATCAAACAAACACGTGTTTGTTAAGTCTCTGTCAAGAGTTTTGTAGTTTGCACAAAGCAGTGCCAGAAAACATGAACTGAGCAGACGTGGCGCCAAATGTAAGAACAAAAACTATGGCGTGCTTACCTGGCCGCGTGCTGAAGCGCAGCAAGACGCTCACGCAGCCCGTGGTGATGAGGAAGGACTGAGACCCCGCTCGACAGCACTCTGTCTCCCTCGAGATCAAGCATTTAAAGACACACATGCCATCACCTGCCAGAACAGAGAAAGAATGAGAAAAACAGAATCAGTGATCATTTACAGTTCACAAATCTCCAGCTACATTCATTTTATGTGGTCATTTTCACATATAGAAAGATCATTATTCACTGACCCTGTGCACTACATTTCAAAAGTTTGGAATCAAATTAATAACTGTTCTTTAATAATAACATAAGATTAAAATGTTACAAAGCATAAACTGAGTTTATTCACAATTTGAAGTATTTTTGGAACAACAAGAAGTTATGACACAGTAAATGTTCCTTAAATAATAAACTGCAATTATGTATTTATGCTCCATTTATGCTAAGAATAGCTGTTTGATCAGCAAAATGTGGTCACCTTTTTTAAATATGTGGATTTCAGGATATTAATTTTATTATATATTCATTCTCAATACTCTACAGCTTCCTCGATTATAATAAAACAGCTTTTGCAAATCATCAAAACCTTCTTAATTTTTACAGCTTCATACACACTGTTTGAAACCTGGTAGACCACCAGTACTGTATGTACAGAGGTGTGTGTAGTGTGTGAGCTGGTATGTGTGTTACACTGTAGGAGCTGCTATCTGATCTGGGGGGGCAGCAGGCAGAGCGCGCCAGCGGCCAGGCCCAGTGTACCGTAGCAGTGAAAACAGTGTAAAGCATGAGGATGCTGGAGTGCACAGGGGCAGAGCGGCTGCACACCGGGCCCTGAGAGTCCACACTGCCGCCGTAAATCCTCACAGCCTGTCAGCACGGCCAGACACATGACCACACACATGGACGTGAGGGAAATGTGTGGCACACCTGAATAAAGAGAGAGAGAGTGCAGGAGAGAGACCTCTCTCTCTTTCTCTCTCTCTCGCTGTGTCTCTCTCTATTCAGTCCTAAGTGCATATTCACAAGACTCTGGCATTATGTCACGAACTGAATGGAAGCTGCTTCAAAACAAATATGCTCATAAGTGTATTTAAGCATAAAGATATCTACAGTACTGTGCAAAAGTCAGAGACCACCCTTCATCGGTCCATAAACCATAATTCACATCTCACATCCAGTTCGAGGGCAAATTTTCTTCTCTTTTGTCTGTTTCCTATTCTCAATAAGAGCTTCTTTACAGCTACACATGCCTTCATACTCATACTGCTGAGTTGTTTTCTCACAGTGGAAGGATGGACAGAAATCCCTGTGAATTTTTCAGATCTAAAGCAGCTTGATTTTCTTCTCTCTCTCAAAAATGAAAGATTTAAGTTGTGTTTATCTGGTAGCGACAGTGTTGGTGGTCTAGCAGGTCTTGCAGGTGGTTGTTAGGAGTCCAATTTTCTCTGTTTCGTTTAATCATTTTTAACTTCAGTTTTGGAAACTCCTGTTTTGTACACTTATTGTCCTCTGACTTTCTTCTTCCTCACGCAAGTGGATTATCATATCTAATCTCCTCAGAAATATCCCCCCGAAAAATAAATAACTTGTATTTAATGGGTGTTTTGACTAGAAGTTAAATGTTCTCTCGCTTTTGCATAATACTGTATATGCACCATTTACAAAATACAGACTCATAGCATGCACGGCCCATCAAAATTTTGGGGACACCTTAAATTTCTCACTGTTATTTTCCAGTTAAATAAGAACAAATACCTGGAGAGATCTTGCTAACATAAAATAGTTAAGTAATAAAGTATATTTTGCTGCTTCATGTTCATCAAAGTGTCTTCATCAGTATACAGAGCAGGTTTTGCCTTTGAGAGTTTTTACAGTTTTTTTTTCTAAATTATTGTTAAAAGCACAGGCTAAAACTCTTTTGGTCCAAAGGTGGTTTAAACAGCTGAAAGGTTTGACAGCCGATGAGTGTTGACATCTCAACACAGGGGTTTGACATCATTCATATCATGACATACTTGCTCTACAATTTTTAATTTAAGTTTTTAATGTTAAATAATTTCAAAGTGTCAAAGAAGCGGTGGTCACTCAATTTTGAGATGATCTACACGTGCTCAACTTTAATTTACAAAACAAACATTCAGGTGAAACTCAATTATTATTGTTATCAGGTCTAGGATCGGGTTTAGGTTTTGGATTAGATGTAACAGAACCTTTTGAATTCAACACAAAGGGGAATTCCACAAACGTTTTCAAAATTTCTGCATAATTTGATTGTTAAGATGTAAACAAAGTAATTTAGAGTAGTTTCATGCAAAATGTGTTTAATGTACCATTCTAGGAAAAACTTGTTCACAGTGGTGGTGATAGGAACCAGCTGTTTAACGCCTCTAAAAACTCACATTAAATAGTTGCTAATATGTTGGCTGATGCCTGAAACGTTATTTCAAGATAGTTTTGAGATAAACTTTTGGTCTAAAATAATTTTAAAATGCATTCATGCAAATTGTGTTGAGGCAAAATAGTACAAAACATATTTTTTTTATTATCATCATTAACATTACATATAAAAAGTCAGACGTCACGTGTAGGCTCCCTGGCGGTTTTAGATAGTAAATAAAATGGCTATATTTGTGTTGTAGACATCTGTATGACTTTGTTTACATCTCAACCACTGAATGCAGAACATTTGCACACACACACACACACACACACACACACACACACACATACATACACACACACACATACATACATACATTTTAACAGAAATCAAAGACCAAAATGAAGAAAGTTTATGTATATATAATACATCACCACTGTCAGCACAAAACCACTATAATGGTAACTTTACAGTAGAAGGAAAAAACATTCTTAACACATTCTCACTGTAATGGACGTCAATGTAAAAAGATGTTTTGCTAGGTAATTTAGGACCATTTCTGTCAGGGTTTTCATGAAATGCAAAAAATTTAAATTAAATCATTAAAATTAAAAACTAAAATGCAAGGTTTTTGCATAACAGTGACAATACATACAAATATATTGAGTGTTGTACATGTCTATATATATATATATATATACACATATATAAAACGAGTTGCTACATATATATATATATATATATATATATATATATATATATATATATATATATATATATATGATTTATTGACTTTAGTGACAGTAATAGCTAATGTCAAAGTTTTATGCAATGAACCATTAAGAAAATTAAAGAAAATATAAATTTAAATCATATGATTCATAATTCTTGATTTCTGTAAGTCATAAAAAAGTCATAAAAATAAGGCCCAAAGCTGTGTTTACCGTCCTCCACACTGAGAGAGATGTCCGCTGTGTCTCTGCAGACCTGCAGAGTGAGATCCTGATGCTCCCTCTGTTTGGAGATTTCCAGCTTACCCTCAGTCTCGCTGTCATTCAGAAAGATCAGACTGACCAAGAAGCGTTTCTGTTCCTGATCACTGTCCATCATTTAAACCTGTGTCCATTTACCAACATGTTTAGCTGGTTCCTACACAGAGCTGTAATTCAGGCTGAGTATAAGCAGGAGTGAAAGGGGGCTGCTGGAGCTCAGAGGAAGAGTCGGGATGGAGGGCGGAGACAGAAGGGAGGCCAGGAACAGCGGGTGTGACTACACTCAGCGCCTAAAGTGCTAGTGCAGAGAGTGAATCATTCAGAAAATGAATGCACAATTTTTCAAAAATAAGAATAGTTAAGAATAATAAGAATGTTTCGGTTTTCATTGCTTGTCTGTTGCTGACCGTAAAGCATGAAAACATGAAAACTGTGTCAAATGCTTATGGTCAACAGACACATTTGACACAGTTGGTGTCGTCATGCTTTATTAAGGAATTTGGCATCAACCCAACAGCACTACTGAATCACTTCTGAAACAGTCAGTCACCTTTTTATAGCTGATGTTGCACTTCAGTACAGTTTCACTGTTGCTTGATGCACGCATTTTACCGGGGTAGAAAAAACAACTAGACTTAATTGAAAGTATGGTTACTTTATTAAAATGTTACTCAATAAAACATGGAAATAAGGAGCCAGTAAAATACCTGAGTGCAAAACAGGAAATATCAACATTTAAACACACTAATAAATACTGTATATACAAGTATGTAAAACAAAGCAAAAAAGTATATCGTTGCTATCTAACAACAGAATGTACCTCCAAAACAGTAACTTCAAAGGAGATACTGAAAACGTTATTAACCTCTTAACACAAGTTAATGTAAAGAGATTTTATTCCCAGTGATTTAACAGCTTTTAGAGATTGGTCCATGCGTTATCATTTTCCCACAGTGTAAATGACAGCTTTACAGCTCTGAGATACACGTTTTTGTTGGTTTGTTTGTTATTTTGTGTTGTCTTTTGATAGCAACAAAATGATTTGACAAATACATTATCAAGTTTCTTTGCTTGGTTGTCTGTGATGCAGTCACTAAAGGGCAGTTCCAGTCCCTACACATAGGATAAATCAACTTAACTGTGGGCAGTTTCATTTCACACTAACATGAATTTTGTTGGGTGTTTTAATAAAAACAAAACATTCAAATGCAGGAGAAACTCAACTGACTGGTAAGAGAAAAAGAGAAAAATCTCCTTGTGTTTGAGATGTAATGAACCATTTGAAGGTCTTTGAGTATTTGAATAACAGTATTCAATTTCAATAATAATAATACCTGAGAACTTCCAAAATAAGTACACAATTAACCACTGATTACATGGTTTCTTGTTCTTCTGGAAGATCAAACACATATAAAAGAGTATAAACTGGTAAATATATTATTTACTACAATGACTGATTTATCACAATCAAAAATAAAAAGTACAATTTTAGTCTCAATTTTTTTTTTCCACAATGACCGAAAGAACACAGCATAAATATAATCTCTGTCCAAAAAAAGCAAGTATCTCCAAAATAGTAACTTTACAGGAGAGGGCAAAAACACTCGTACCTTTCAATTAAAGTCAATGTAAAGAGATTTTATTCTAAGTGATTTTAGAGCATTTCTATTGGTCTATTCATCATGAATTTTTCACACAACGTAAAGGACAGCTGCTGTGTTGAAATGACATAGAAAATTGAATATCGACAGAATGGAGATATATGGCTTTGTTTGGATAGCGACGATGTAACTGAAATGAAGAGACAAAATGTCTCTCCAAAATGAGAATATTTTAGTGATATTTAGTTACTGACACACAGTGGAGGAGTACAGTACTGCACTGATGACCACATACTCAGGTCACTCAGAAACCTCTGAGCTCAAGTGCACAAAAACCAGCAGAGCAAAGGCATGAAGAGACTTAGCAGATCTGCGCACGTGTACGGTCTCACATGTGATGTAATGGCCTGGACTTTTCTATTTGACTGCCCTTAGATGGTTCTGATTGACCTTCTGAGGTCAGAATATAAAACTCTTCAAAAAAAATTTTATGAAATGTTATGAAATAAATGTTATGAATTCAATCTTTCTTTCTGGAAGATGATTCATCAGCCTTTTTGAGCCTTTATTTCATATGAAGTCTAGTCACACATGAAATTCAATCTTTTAACAGGAAATCTACATAACAGCCCTGAACTTGCATTAAGACTTCCTTTGTAAAGCTTTTATTGTAAAGTGCCTGAGCTAAAATCCATCTTTTAATTATACAAAGTGTTTGTAGAGGATGATTTCTCTCCTCCACTGGGTTATTTCCCTCCCTGATGTAACCTAAACTAACAGTCTCTGGCTTGGAAATGCCCTGAATGAGTCATTAGTACAGATAAAAACATGAGTTTCTTTTTCTTTATTTAGATTTAATGTTAATTTGATTAATTTGTTGCTCTGCTAATTAGCATGAAATGTACAGTATTGCACATGATTTAAATTGTACAATCTCGTTTTCCAAAAAAGTTGGGAGGCTGTGCAAAATGTAAATAAAATCCCTATATTTAAATGAAAATAGTACAAAGACAACATATCAAAGGTGAAACTAACAAATTTTATTGTTTTTTGAAAAATATACGTCTTTTTTTATTTGATGGCAACAACATGTTCCAAAAAAGTTAGAACAGGGGAACAAAAAAAAAACTTATGGAACATCTCACAAATAATTAGGTTAAGTACAACAATTCAAAAGATAACATTTCTCAGCATAAAATAGCCAAGAACTTGTGGACTTCATCATCTATAGAACATAATATTATTAAAAGTTTCAGAGAATCCAAAGAAATCGCTGTACGCAAGGGACAAGGCTGAAAACCAATACAGGCCGGCTGTGATCTTCGGGTCCTCAGGCTGCACTACATTAAAAACAAGCACATTCTGTAGAGGAAATCACTGCACGGGCTCAGAAACACTTCTGAAAAACACTGTCTGTGAACACGGTTCGTCGCTGCATCCACAAATGCAAATGCTTGCCATGCAAAGCATTTAGCCGGTTTGATCATGTAAAGCGTTTTCCACACACATCACACGGATTTATCGCCTGAATGCACCTTCTGATGTGTTGCATACATGGCAACAAAAGTTCTACTATCCATGGATCAGCATGCTGGTTCTTAAACTGCGATGCTTAGAGAAGCTTTTTGGACACTACCTGCACTGAAATGACCTGGGCTCATTTAAAAAGGAATCACCACACTGAAGAGGTGGAGGTTCCTTGCTGTGCCGCTGCTCATGGGCAACCATCCTGGCTTTTGTTGTAAAATTCATCCCACAACACTTGCAGGTAAAGAGCTTCACTCCAAAGTGACGTTGTACATGGGCCTTCAAAACATGCCTCAGGGAAAAGTGCTTTCTACACTGAGAACAGCCCAAGGGCTTAGAATGGACATGCAGGTGGTGGGTGAGCTTCGTTTTTGATTCTAATCATCTTTGAGTGCTGTTTGAATCTGTTACAGTGTTTTCTTTACCATCTGTTGTCTCTAACAGGTGCGGTACTTCATCACTGCCTTCCAGCTCAGGCACTGTGTCAGATAAACCTTTATCACTTTCATCATCTGCTCCATCACTGCTTTGCACAGAAGCTCCATGATAGAGACAAATTTCCTCTGTGAAAGAGAAAGAAACAGACATCAACAAATTTACGTTGCTATAGCAAAAACATTTCTGATACTTTTCTAAATGTCACAGGGCCTCATTGTATGTACGACTGTAATATTTATACAAAATAGTAGGGAAAAAGTAGAAAGCTTGATAGTAAGACTGAGTAAAGTAAGTTAGCTTATGTCATAACACAATTTGACACACCAACTTGTTGTCAAATTTAATGGGCTAATATACAATAATAATAAATATATATAGGGCCAAATTATGGAACAATTATGGTGTTCAGGTATTTTAGCAATACACATGGCTAACAGGTGTAGAAAATGAAGCACATAGCCATGCAATCTATATACACAAACACTGGCAGTAGAATGAGTTGTACTGAAGAGCTCAGTGACTTTAAACCTGACACTGCCATAGGATGCCGCCTTTGCTGTAAATCAGTATGTGAGCCAGGGCTTCTCATCCAACATCAGTCAAAAGAGCATTTGTGAAGTCAGGCACTGATGTTGGAACGTCGATTAAGTGCCTTCTTCCCCATCATCAGAGTCTAACCTCACAGATGCTCTTTTGCCTGAATGGGCACAAATTCCCAGAGCCACACTCCAAATTCTTGTGGAAAGCCTTTTCATAAGAGTGGAGGCTGTTAGATCCGAAAAGGGGGACTGCATATAAATGCCAAACGAATGGGAAGTCAAACAACCTTATATGTTATGTGATGGTCATGTGTCCACATATTTTAGGCCATATACTGTGTGTGTGTGTGTGTGTGTGTGTGTGTGAGTGTGTGTGTGTGTGTATTACTTTTAATCTAAGTCAATGTGAAGATATGTTATTCCAAGTAATTTTAGAGCATTGCTGTTGGTCCATTCATAATCAAATTTTCACATGATGTGAAGGACAGCCACTGTTTTCAAATGACACAGAAAACTAAAAATCGACAAAATCGACGTTTTATATATGAATATTTATACAGAAATATAGTATTGCATTACTTCAAGACATTTTCATGAAAAAGAACCAGTAGTGCTACATTTTAAAAAATACTATCAAAAACTATGAACACTATAATTTTGATTGAATATTTGGCATAATATGTTACACTAAATCCAATTTAACAGGACTAATTTTGCTCTCTTTATAATGAAACATGCAGTTGGTCAGTGCTTTATAAGTGCTGACGATATCGACGATATGTTCTGAAAAGAATATTGCATCATATTGTGACATAATTTACCATAATAACAAGATAATATATATGTATATAGTCATACTGACCACCAATATCATTTGTCTTAATTGCCATATAAACGTATAAGTGTTTTCTGTGCAAATAAATACTTACTGCATAAGTAAATAGTTTTTTCAGTCTGATTTCCTCAGGTGTCACAGTTCTATATGTATGTATGTATATTCCAGTCTGCTGTCACTCACCGTCCTCCTCTCTCTCTCTTTCCTCCTCTTTCTCTGGGACATCACGCTCATCACCCTTACCCCCATTAGATAAACAGGTAAAGTTGCAGCAGC